TGAAAGTCCCCTAGCCGGGTCAGGCACCCCTTGCACCTCAAAGGGACGTCTTTGCTTTTGCAGCATCGATTTCACGAGCAGTTAGTGACTGTGTCCACGTAGACAGCTTCAGGTGTGTCGTCCTTTATCACCATGTTGCTTACTGGCTCAGTTGTGACAATTCTGTTTTATGTTGACATATAATACACACTACAGGGCTGTAGTCCTGGATCTTTGTAAATTTTCAAACATTTTTCAAAAGTGGGGGAGGAATAAACATACTATGATGGGGGGTGAGGGGCTAAAGATCTGAATCTTATTTTTCCAAATGGCTCTGTACAGTAGGAGCCCCAAAGCCACTTGGTAAAATTCAAAATCCTACATTCTACAGGTTGGTTCCTGGTGAAACAGTAGTTAAAAGGTCAGTGGTTCGAACCCAAAGCTCTATGGGCTAGTTCTAATTTCTGCTACAACGTTGCTGAGTCAGAACTAACTCCATGGCCAAGGGTTTGGCTTTAGGGGCTCCAGCTGGGATATGTGGTTTATTGTTAACGTTTTTACCAGTGAGTTTTTAAGGTTTTAACATTTTGACTCAAGCGACCCCCAGCAATCAGCAGGATGGGGTCTGTGAGGCTCTCCGGCTGTGGTCTCTAATGAAATTTGGAGCTGGACCTTCAAGGGTCTGTCTGGTGTTTGTGGTTTTCAATTTCCAGGTGGCTCTGCATTTTTCAGGATCTTTGAATTTTATTGCTGTGTAAGTCATGAAGAGAATGTGGTCTGTGGGCTTCTGCTCCACTTGGAAAGTTGACGAGAAATCCGCCCTGCACAAGGCACGGTCAGTTTGGGTGGCTGCTCCCACAGGAGCTGCTGGCACCAGCTTTCGATGCGGCTGCAAGTCCAGACCAGTGCCTCCTCCCTTGTCTCGTTGGCTGAGACCTTCTGGGAGATGGGAATTGACAAATCCTGCAGTGACTGGTACTTCTAGAACTGTAAGCTATCTTTCAGAGCTCTGTTGTGAGGTATGACATTATTATAACTTCCTGACGACTCACACTTTTCATAAACGTGAAAATGCCTTCAACCAGCTGATGCTTTAAAGGTGTATATATCTGCTGCAGTTCTATTTTGACCAACAATAAAACATTTGTCTTTTGGGGGGCTAGTATTTCCCCTTGTTGTTTTTCCACCCCTTTATTTCCAAGCCTTTGTGTCCTTTGAGTGTTCTCTTGGAATCCATGTGTCTGAGACGTATTCTTTTAAAAGAAATTGAAAATATAGAGATAGTAGCACTTGGCCCTTCACACACTTCATGAGAACAGATCATTGTACAGGAAAATTACGTGGCAAATAATCTTTAGAATTTAAACAATAGACCCAAGAGCTGGAAGGCCTCCAGCCTGTGCTCACACAGCAGAGGAAGGACGCCTCCAGCAGTCCCTCGCATAGTAGCCCTCTGAAGGCACGGTGCTAGGAGCCAAGCTCCTCAGGCCACCAGGAAGTCCCCCTTGATCCTTCTCCCTCCCAGCCCTCAATGATAGCAGGCACCAGGATGAAAATGACCCAATGGACGACACAGGAGTCCATCTGTGCCCTCTTCCCCAGCCCCCTTGCCCATTTCACAAGGCCGGCTTGGGCTGCTCCCACCCTGAGCTAGGAGGGGAACGAACGCAGACTTGCCCTTCATACCGAGATGAACCTTTCTGCTGGCACTTTGCATGGAACGCGGGCCAGCACCACCTCAGCTGAGAGCAGGTGTGTGAGCTATTGTCATGAGGGACAAAAGCAGGGTTTGTAAAGTCACCTGTCTGCAGGACTGGTGTGGGTCACACTGGGAACATGACTAAAACCTCGAGGGTTGGATTTCTCTTCACAGAGACCCCACGGGGCCTTCTGGCCCCGCTCTTACCCAGTGTGCCAGGCTCACTGAGCCCGCCCTGCTCAACCCCACCAGGGCATGTTCCTGCCCAGTGTATGAGCCCTGGCCTGGGGTTCTCACACCTTGGTTTGCCTGGTCAGTCCCAGTTTAACCTGCTGTCTTGATGTATTAGTGACACCCCTTTATGCTCTCATATCGGTCTGTACAGTATACTATGGTCACCCCATGCATAATGAAGGACAAGTGACCCCCCCCACACACACACACACGCACAAACACCCTCACCCGCACACACCAAAGGCCCAGTGAATCCATGCAACCACATGCCAAGCACAGAGCCCTGTTATAAAGTGATTTTATTAAATTGATTTGGACATACTGCAGGTCAAATAATATTTCCCAAAGATAACAATTATGGACTTTAAAGCTTGACATAAAATTAGTAGCTCCAAAAGTGTTAGTCATATTCCCCAGCAACAGCATGATAAAATAATTCAACTATGTAGAAATATAGAACTCTAGGACTAGCTGGAAACTCAGAGATCATCCCGCCTAAGATCCTCATTCTGTACATGAGAAAACTAGGCTCAAAGGTTAAGCAATTTGCCCAAGCTCACATACCTAATAGTAATAAAACTAGAAATCAAACCAATTTTTCCTAAAACTAAAATCCTATCGATGATATTTTAACGGGCTTGCTACCAACTAAAACCTAGCCTTTCCTCTACTGCTCCACACTATTGAGACATGAAAGAGTAACAGACACTACAGGAAATGGAGTCTCCACACACGCCTGGAAGGGGCTTTATCCAGTGACCAGCCAGCCCGCTGTCTTTGAGAGGAGGAGAGGGCTGACACACCCAAGGCTTGTGAGCAGAGGTGCTTGCATCAGAAATTTACCCCTAAGTCCCACCCGAAGGATCAGAGCACCTCCTGCTCTGGAGTCTCCTTTTAGCCATGCCAAAGCCCCTTTCAGTCACACAGAAGTCATGAACTCAAACATGGAGAAAGAAAAAGATCGCACGCAGGTTCGGTATTTCTGTGACAGTGGGAGTCGTTCGTTTCCCAGCCTCTCAGACAGCTGACCAACAGCGCCCAGGGGCTCACCCATTTCAGAGCGTCACAGAGCCTCAGTTTCCCCACCCCCACCCCCAAAACTTCCTGAGCTAAAGGATGACGTGTGGGAAAGCAGCGAAAAGTGGAATGAGGAGAGAAACGGGGGAAACCTGGCTGCTTTTCTTTCTTGTTATTGGGGGCTTTTGGTCTTCTAAATATTCCTTGAGTTCCTCCATGAGTTTTTAATATCTAGCAAAAACCAAACCAAAACACCAAACCGAACCCCAGGCCTGCAAATGCCAGGATATTGAGGTGACTCAGCACCTCCCCTCCCCACTGCTCTCGCCCTCCTGCCCCGCTGACTTGTCTGTATGTTCTAGAGGCCTGGCATGCCAGCGGGCCCCTCTGCCCTCCAGCTCCTCCACCACCCGGTAAAGGCCCGCTCTGACGGCTATCTAAGGCTGCCCCACCCCCGCCCCCCACCGCGCTACATGTCACCCTAGTTTATTTGCTTTTTCGCACCTACTATTTCAACTACATTATTTATCTGTTTACTTGCTTATCATCTGTCTCCTCTGCCAGGACTCAGCTCAGTGAGCAGGGACCCAGTTGGCCTCCCTTGGTGGTGTCCCCAGCACCTAGCCCCACACCCGCCAAAGCAAGTGTCCAGCCACTACTTACTGAACAAGCAGAGCCCAGAACAGTGATCAATGACAGTCAGGCTTGCAAGGCCTGGGCGTGCACCCCTCCAGGATGAAGACGGAGGACGCACAGCCCTGGGTATTGCCTGAGATCCCAGACGCCGGGACTACGTCATGGCTGATCCTTCCTACCAAGCACTTCTCACAAGGACTCCCCCGCCTTCCCCCCCTGCTGGGAATCCCAGCCCTGCTGAGGGTGGCTTGGGGTGGAGCTGTTAACCTGGCTTGCTTCTTCCTGCGGGCCATTTACACTCAGCTAGTTCCAGAACAGTTCACGCTAACAGTGTGTGGGGACGGGAGTAAGTCAGTCAGACCGACAGACACAGTGATGGGCAGAATCCAGAAAATTAAAAAGTTCAAGCAAAGTTCAAGGGCATGTGTGTCTGCCCATGATTTCTCTGATAGGCCACATGGACGGGTATGACGAGTCACCTACAACCTAAAGGGAAACTGAATGCCATCTAGGAAGGGGCGGGGAAGCGGGTATTGGCAGGTGCTGGGAGGCTCAGAAAGAATGGGCCACGAGGAAAGACATGGGGGGCCCAGAGAGGGGCGAGTCAGCTGCCCGATTGGAGTAGGTGCTACTGTTCCCCACTGCATTCACCTGTATGCCTGCATCACGGGAGGAGTCCCTGCAGGGGTGGCGGTAAGAGTGGACAGAGGTGACTCGGCGGTGAATGGGCAGTGATGATTCTTTTATGTCCTATCTTGGCAACCAAGGTACAGCACCGGGTTCCTGGGCAGTGTGACCACACTGGATGGAAGGTGGCTGACCTCGAGGGGGATTTCGTGCTTAAAGCCAAGTGGTGGCACACACTTGGCATGAATCAGGAAATCCACCTCCCATATGCCTTTGCACCAAGTATACTCTGCTAGGGATTGCTTTGAGTGTTTTTTGGGGGGTGTCAATGTGGGTACTTACAGGGGTTCCTTCCTAGTGGCACTTATGGGTTGTCAGGTCTTTTGCTCTGAGCGAGACTTGTTACATAACTGATATTTTGAGGTGGTTCCTCTCCTTGGTGTGCACCCTCTGGTGGATGCAGAGGCTGGTGCTCTGGCTGAAGGCCTTGCCGCACTCGTCACATTTAAACGGTTTCTCCCCGGTGTGCACTCGCTGGTGGATACAGAGGCTGGAGCTCTGGCTGAAGGCCTTGCCACAGCCACAGCATCTATAGGGTTTCTCCCCCGTGTGCACCCGCTGGTGGATGCAGAGGCTGGAGCTCTGGCTGAAGGCCTTGCCGCACTCGTAGCACTTATAGGGTTTCTCCCCAGTGTGCACCCTCTGGTGCATGCACAAGCTGGACGTGTGCCGAAAGGCCTTGCCGCACTCTTCACATTTGAAGGGCTTCTCGCCCGTGTGCACCCTCTGGTGCATGCAGAGGTTGGAGCTGTTGCTGAAGCCCCGGCCACACTCACTGCAGACGTAGGGCTTCTCCCCGGTGTGGACACGCATGTGGATCTGCAGGTGCGAGCTCCAGTTGAAGGCTTTGCCACACTCGTAACACTTATAGGGCTTCTCCACGGTGTGAATTTTCTTGTGTCTGTTTAGTTTGGTTGTCGTGCTAAAATCTTTACCGCAATCATCGCATTTATAGACCTTCTCACCTGTGTGGTCTCGCCAGTGGATGTGAAGTTCTGATATGTGGAAGAAACCTTTGTCACACTTGTCACACTTGTGGGGCTTCTCGGCTGTGTGGATTTTCTGGTGCATAAAGAGATCGGCGCGCTCAGAGAAGAATTCCCTACACATGGGGCACTTGTAGATCATGTTTCCTATTTGGTATGGTGGTGGGGAGGGGAAGGGCCTACCACTGCTCTGCTCACAGGGCTCGGGGCCTCATCAAGCTGCTCCTTGGGCCACAGGGCTGCTTAGCTCAGCCTTGCCCCAGCAGCTCCCACGAAGGCCGGCCTGAGAGCTGCCCTGCCTGGTTTCCTACGGAGGGCTTCTTCCTGCATAGTGCTCCTACTGGGCTTATGGCCAGTCACAACGTCACAGCTATTTGTGTGCCCTCTCCGGAACTCAACACAGCTATTCTTGTGAGCTCCTGGGCTGCCCACATGCCCGGGGGCTCCCTGGGTGCAAACCTGTGGGGGTCCTGAGCCCCTGGAATCTTCCTTGTGGAGAGTCCTCTCACGCACCCCACTCTCAGAGCAAGGGCCGCACTGTGTCCCCTGCAGCTGAGAGCCAGAGGCTGCTGGCCGGCCTGGGTCCCCTGCAGCCTCCCCCAGGAGAGTCAGTCTGACATTTCGCTCGCTACTCATCAGACAGGGCCTCCCCAAGAAGCGAGCTCCTCAGGTGCCTGGTGCGTCGGCATCCATTTTCTCTGAAGATCCTCTACAAGGGAGCCTCACTGGTCCCCTAGGATGGAAACATAAATTGTTAATTAATAATGCCCTCTGCCTGGTCGTGACTATTGTCCCACGACGCATCACATGGAAGAGGACAGCATGGCACACACCTGCCTGGATCCTGAGGAAGCAGTTTTCTTCTGTCTTCCAGAGATGAGTGGCTGGGTGTGCAGGGCTGAAGGAGAGAAGGTGCAGACATCAGGCCCCTGCCTCTACCTCAGGCCCCCAACCCAATTACAAGCATGTGCTGCAATGCTCTGCTCCACGACAGGGGGAGCCTGAGGGCACAGGGAGAAGTGGCAGCTCTCCGGCACTTCAGACCACGCCTCCTGAGGGCAGCGGCACTGCTTTCTGAACTGCCTTCTACTCACTAAACACTACCTGTGAGACAGTCATTCTCCTGCTTACTTCTCCTCACTGGTTTCCTAGTGAACTTCACACCCCCAATGAAAGCCTACCTGAAAGAGCAGGGCCTTGCCACCCTACCTGCTAGGCCCCTCCTCACACACTCCGAGCAGCTTCCTGGCCTGGTACTTGAAAGGCTCTCCCTCACGCTGTGTCCTCACTGTGTGTGACTGTGCTGTCAGCATGCCCTTCCCTCAAGAGAAGACCTTCACTAGGTTAGCCCCGATTTTGACCTTCGTTACTCCATCAAGCAGGTGGAACTTGCCACATTCCCAAGTGCCTGGTTTTTGCTCAGTGTCCTGCAGAGACTGGCAGGGCCGGAGGAGACACTCTGGGTGTGGCTCACAAGGGGGCGGTGCGATTCTGACAAGGGGGCAGTGCTCCTTCCCACGTGCTGGGTGGGAGAGGCTACCAGGTGACCAATGTGCTCCCTGGTTCCACGCAGACCAGCCTTCCTCATCCATTTGGCAGAGGCACCACACCTCCCATGGTTCTGCACCAGTCTTTTCACCACTGAGCGCCACTTTCCAAAAGTGATGCTTCAATTAAGCAATTAATGGAATAGCATTCACAGGTCATCTCGACGGACCTAACTGGCACACCATGGCACTCACAGGGGCAATGTCAGTGCTGGCAAAACTGCAGACAGGCCGAATGTCCGTCCCTGCACTACTTCCTCACAGCACACACCAACGAGGATGCAATGGTGTGAACTCAGGCACACCAGGTAAATAGAAGAAAGCAAGGTATAACACGAGGAGACTTCAAAAAATTCATAGAAAATAGAAAATGGTATTAAGGGATAATGGCATTTTCCCATGAAATTTTTTCAAGTCATCTTATATAATATGCTATAATCTTTTTTTTCCTTATTCTTTTTATTTTCTTCTTTTTTCTCTCTTTATCTATCATTTTTTTTATTAAAAAAATTTTTTTAAACATTTTATTAGGGGCTCATACAACTGTTATCCCAATCCATACACACATCAATTGTGTAAATATGCTATAATCTTGTATGCAAAAAAAGGGAGGGCATATGAAGCCTGTGTGGTAATTACATAATCTGGTGCCAATTTGGGACTTGAGAGAATTAAGAGTGAAGGGGTGGAGTCTAGTCTGTCAATTGGGTCATAGCCAATGAGGCCTCTTGTATGGGCATGGCCTTCCCCTGAGGATTCTGGGAACTCCAGTCTTTCCTCCTTGGAGGCGCCAGACTCTCTCTCGACTTACTCCCTGAGATGCTCTACTGACAAGACACATGGCGCCATGCTGATATAGCCCGTGCCCCTGGAGCTGGAGAAGCCACATGGAGACCCTGGCAGCACTGAGATGCTTACAACGCCACTGGATCCACAATACTTCCCAGCTACTGGCCTGTGATCTTCCTGCACTCGATGTCATTGCATGTGTTGTGTGAATCTGAAGAGGAATTTATAGATTGGTATTGGACATATGGGCTAATATCAGACTTATATGGACTTGATCTGGACTGGGATATTTTCTCAATGTTCAATTGCTCTAGTGTATACACAGCTTTCTTATACACACATGAGTCTTCCTGGATTTGTTTCTCTAGTCTACCCAGACTAACACAAAGAGACTTATGTGTTCAATTCTAGGAACAGAAATAGACACAGAGAAAGAAGATGCAAAATTATATTTAGAAGATTGGTTGCAAAGGAGAGTGGAGATGAGAAGGGGGTGCGGTTCTGACTGTGGCTGCACATACAGAGGGAGGCCCATTGGTCAAAAGCAGGACCCGTGCACATCAGAAGGAATCATGCATGTGGCTGATAGAACTGCAGGGGTACAGAACCCCATGAGTTCACAGGGAGGACAAGAAGAGGGGACTGAGGGGAAGAGAGAGGAGAGGCAGGAAGGGGAAGAGATTAGGAACTCAATGCATGGGAAAAACTGGAGTAGGGCACTGACTTCCCCTGAGAATTGGCTAGGAGGATGGAATTCAGCATTTATGCAACCGTTCCTCTATAAATGATCTTTCCAGGTAATAAAAAAACACCCTGCTAATGAGGTCACACTCATGAAGTCCTGGCTTCAGGCACCAGTCAGAGATGGGGGAAGTGGGAAGAGAGGTCAGAAGACTGGGAACTGGCAGGTAGGGTAGGCTGTCTTGCCAGTCAGTCAGTATGACCAGCAGAGGGTCTTGCCCAGAGACCTAATCTGCACCTAATGGGGTGTCTAGGCTGATCTTCATTTAGGGAAAACTGAATGGAGGAGCACCGGGAGAAGAACAAGCTCCTGAACCAAGCGTGTAGCAAACAAATGGCATGAACAAGCAGAGGGGCTGCTCCAGCTGAAAGAGCGTCTAGACTGAACAATCAAATGTAGCAGGAGGCCCTTCTTTGGAGTCAAACAGGCCAGCTGCGAAAAGGAGACAGCTGAGGGAAGGTGACTAGGCGCTGGTACCAGATTCCACCAAGGACACTGCTGGTTGAGTTAGGGACAGGAATGACACTGGCTCTGTAAACAGATGCCTACTCTTTTCGGAGAGGGACACTGATGTATGTAGGAACATAGGCCAGGACATACCAAGTCGGGCTTTAAAATAATTCAGGGGGGCGGGGAGGAGAGAAAAGAAGGGGATTAAACAAATGTAGTGAGAGCTGGATATAGGTACTCTAGAAGTTCCTTGAGAAAACGTTTTAACGCTGTCAGGGCAGTCTTCCGCTGCTCCTCTTGCTGTGAGCTACACCAGGGCAGCTGACCCTCGGCTAGCACCGCTTGAGTCGCTCAGGTGCACGACTCAAAGCACCTGGAGGATGTGAGCCCACAGTGTCCAACTGCAGGACGGTACTACAAACACATTTTCTCTTTATGACTTTGTTAATAATGTTTCCCTTTCTCTAGCTTACTTTATTATAAGAGTACAGATACAACACATGTAATGTACAACATGTGTTAATTAACTATGTATGTTGTTGGGACAGGATGCTATTAGTAACTGAGTTTGGGGCAAATCAAAAGCTATGCAGTGATTTTTGAGTGTGTGTGTGTGTGTGTGTGTGTAGTCAGCACCCCAAACCTAGAGTTGTCCAAATGGCAGCCACGCCCACAAACCATCTTAAACACACGTGACAGTGCAGGAGGCTGCAGGGCAGGCTGTAGGCAAAGGGGGCACCAGCACATGCCTGCCCACCTCCCCTGAATGTGACAAGACACATTCTTACACTCCCAGGCTGGCCTCAGGGGAAGCTGGTTCTCTGCTCAGAGAGGGGTTCTGCAGCCCCACACAGGCTTTTCCCTGTGGGCTCTCCAATCCTTCTACATGGCCTCCCAGTATCCGCCCCCCCAGGAGGACCGGGCACTGCCATGTACCCTTGGAAAGCCCATATCGGGAGAGCTGCCTGCCATGCTGGGGCCAGGGTCGGCCGCATGCTGTGTGAAAAAGGAAGGAAGGAAGAAAAAAGCCACAGAAACTCCAGGAAACTGGCCAAGTGACCAATCAACAAACAAGGGAATACCATCACCAACCAACGCTCACTACCGTGGTCCTGCGGAGGCAGCACTTGCCCACCTGCTCTGACACCATGGCACCCTGAGCATCGGCCCCGACCCAGGTGGAGGAAATTTGTGCCAGCAGCCCCAGACAGAAGATGCGAGCACACAAGCGCTCTTGACTGCATCTGAGAGAAGGCCAGAGACTCACAGTGCACGGCCAACTCTGGGCGCACACTGCAAAGCAGGCTGGGAGCCTCAGCTGCCCCGCTTCTCTGAGGAAGATGAGGGTCCCAACACCAGGACTGCAGCAAATGTAGAGCAAGTCACACCTCCCAGGGAGGACCTGTGAGGACACTGGCTCATAAAGGAGTCTGCAATGGGGACAGCTGGGTGACAATTCTCTAGTGACACCTCACTCACAGGTGCTTAAGGACCAGGGACTAGGGGAGGTTTGTGAAGGGACCGTGATGCCTTTCACAAGGGGGTGGGAGAAGAGAAGAGATGTCACTGAGACAGAGGGACAGGAAGAAAGGGGTTCCACGTGGCCCTGAAATTTCAGGGCACTAAGTCTCTTGTCTTACACAATTAAAACTAATGACTTCTGAATCTCAGTGACAGGTACACGTTTTTCTACTGAGTCTGTGGAATTTTCCACAATAAAGCGAGACAGTCCTTTATAGAGCTATAGAAGGATAGCCAAGTGCCACTTGCCCACAGGAGTTCAGTGAGCACTGCTTAGTAACCCGTCAGTCACACAAGCCCAGGCATAACATGACAGGGATGCCACGTGACAAATCAGTCAGCCATTTGGCTGACCAGAGAGGAACCCTCTGCTGACGAGAACCCCCTCTCCTTCCAGCTTCCTGGTTCCCTTGATCCAATGGGGCTTCTGTCCTCCTTACCGACTGATTATCTATCCTTGCGCTCTGCTTCCTATGCCTGCTGCAGCCACTCTCCTGGCACTTGGCCATTCCCACAGCCACACCTCGGCCTCATCCTCCAAACCACCATGTGTGCCTCCTTCCAGCTGACTCCATCTCCCTCAGTCCACACCCACCCACCCACTGGCCTTCCTACCGTTTCTAGCCAGCACCCACCTCCCTCCTTTCACCTCCAGCCAGTTCTCTATCACTGGTGGCTGACTTATTTTCCTGCGTCACACAGTGACTTTCCTAGCTCCCGACTGCTCACACCCTCCCCAGTGTTGTGCTGTCAGCTTCAGACAGACTAACAGGGTACAGCCAGCCCACTGGACTGAAGCAGCTCCTGAGGGACTAGGACCGGTGGGCGCCATCTGGTGTAGAGGCTGGGCTACATCACCAAGGCCACAGCGGACTTCAGCACACATGACGCAGCAGCTCACACAGCGGGACTGTGCCAGCGCTTCTGCTCACCACCAGTATGCCTTTCGTGAGCCACTTACGCTACAACCCCACTTCTTTTGCTGGGAGGGCCGCTAGGGGGGGCTCCACCACGTCTCGGGCTGCTGTGAAATCAAACTACCCTGTTTCCCCGAAAATAAGACAGTGTCTTATATTAATTTTTGCTCTCAAAGACACGCTAGGTCTTATTTTCAGGGGATATCTTATTTTTCCATGAAGAAGAATACGGTGCACTTTTATTGTTTATTGTTTTATTAAAAGAGACCTCACACTTCCTGTCTGCTCCGGCTGTGCTGCGGCCAACAGTGAGCTGCGCGGTGGCACCCGCCGCTATGGTCCACAGTCCAGAGTTACGGTAGCTTCGGGGGGCCTTATTTTCAGGGGGATGCCTTATATTTCAGCGAGAGGCAAAACTGTAAGTAGGTCTTATTTTCGGGGTATGTCTTACTTTCGGGGAAACATGGTAGTCAGGGCCCAAGCAAGAACTAAAGAGTCCTGGTGGTGTAGTGGTTATATGTTGGGCTGGGACCTAAAAGGTCAGCTGTTTGAAACCACCAGACAGAGCTCTGCAGGAGAAAGATGGGGCTTTCTACGCCCATAAAAAGTTACAGTCTCGGAAACCCGCAGGGGCAGTTCCACCCTACTCTATAGCGTTGCTGTAAGTCAGTGTCCACTCAATGGCTGTGAGTGTTCAGTGAGAAGCAGGGACTTCCAATGCTCTGGAAGTACTGTCCCCTAGTCTCGCCCGAGGGGCCTGCCTATGAGACAAGACATGGGAACCCACAGGGTTTCATTGAGACATCACTTCCATTCCCTGAGGCCCCCTCTCTCCCCTTTAGGCACAGGGACTGAACAGTCAGCCCAGTGGAGCCCTTCTCCCATGAAATCAAATTCCTTAGAGCACCCCCCTCTACCTGGAAAGACCTTGTGCTGGGAGCCCCGGAGAGAGGATACCAGCCTCCAGGATAGTCTGTGAGGCAGTTCATCTTACTCCCACCCTCGACTTCCCCAGAGGCCATTTCTGTTGCTGACATGAAACCCTAAGTGAAAAATTATCTTAGTGGCTGCTACTGTCTTTGCCAAGCTCCCTTCTCGCTGTCAAGCTGAGAGGACTGAGATCAGGGTTCACATCCACCACTGGCGCAAACTGGTTCTGGAAACTTTATCTCCAAAAGCACTCCAAAGACCACCATCACCTGCCTCAGCACTACCCCCACTCCCACCCCCATCCACATGCCTCATCTCAGAACCCTCAAATACAACCCTGCCTGGTGCCTGACAGACACTTTGTAACATGAATGAGGCCTCTGCTTACCACTGTGTCTGTCGCTTGCCAGTCACATGAGGCATCTGGACATCTGTGGAGCTGTCAGTGACCTGGGTGGGTGGACTATTAGATGTCTTCAGGCTGTATTTGACTTGGGAAAACTGCTAACCTATAAACACTGGCTACAGAAAGACTGAGTTCTTCTCCCGGATTTCTGCTACCTAATCTTCTGGCTCTGAATAAGCTGGAGGTACTGTGACATCTGTCCCTGTTTCCTTTGATGCCGACTACCACCCAGGTAGGTCTGCTATGAAATACGTGAGCCCGCCTACCCATCCACTCCCTTCAGCTCTGCCTGCCTCATTCACCGAAGTTCAAGGCTCCTCTTTGAACCCAACACCATAGACCAGAGCTCCCAGCCACTCTGGGCTGTCTGAGACAAAACTGTCCTTGTGGCTCCAGGTGAGGTCCTGCCTCAGGGGCCAGGAGGGCAATCTCAAGGTGTGTGTGGGTCTAGTTTAAGGTCACAAGGACTAACAGGGCCATGTCTGCCCTTCCCCTCCCAGAAGTAATCAAATCCTAGAAAGAACACTGCCCCCTTGGGTTTCCAAGGTTGTAAAGTTTTTACTGGAGTAGGAACCCCATCGTTCTCCCACCAAGAGCCTGGTGGACTCAAACTGCTGGCCTTGTGGCTAGCAGTCCAACGCAGTGTGGAACCAGAAAGAACACCCCTGACCACAGGCTTCCAGCAACCTGGCCAGCTAAACTTGAGACCCTGGAGCTTGGGATCCTGCCCTCCCTTTCCCTCCTTCCTTAGGAACACCTAAGCAAAAGTCCTAGGCTCCCTAGACAGAGTCCAAAGTCTACTGATTTGGCTGCTGGCTTTTAATAAATGGAGGGAGGGAGGAGGGGGAGAAAGAGAGACAGAGAGAGATTGATAGAGAGAGAAAGCATGCACAGCGACAGGCTTTTATTCTGTCCTGGGGACAACTGCTCTTCCTGACAGGACCCAGTGGGGAAAAGAAAGACGACAAAAGAAGTGGTGTCTGATTTTCCTTTAAATAAGAATTTCCATAAAGCTTATGAAGGGCAAAAAAAATGATTAAGGGAATGATGTCACTCTGGTGTCCGAGGAGATAATTGCAGGTGTTATTAAAGAAATCACAGATGACAGAGGAGCAGAGGCTCCTCAGCCAAGTCCTCCCACAGGGATGAGCCTGGGGATCGGCTCAGCCAGCGGCAGGCTGGAAGTCTGGGCTCTGCCACTTGCTACATGCTGATCTCAGACTATCTGTGGAAACAGGGTGATAATGTCGACACCACTTGGCTATGGGGCTGTGGTAATTACAGGTGGTAATAGGTGGGAGAGGGCCTATCATGGGGGCCACATCCTAGTCGAGGCAAAATAAATATTCCTTTCCCTGTTTCTTGTATTTTAATGAGTGGGTGACACATTAATTATTTGCCAGGAACCTCTCTTCACAAGCAGGTGCTTTCAGAGGCCTGATGATCTCAGCCCCCTTAATGAGGGCTCCTCCGCTGGGAAAGCCAAGACCGGCTGTCGGTGCCTCCTGGCCCCACCCCGTGCCTCCTTGACCCTTCAGCCACAGGGCTGTCTTCAGAGTCCAGCTTCCCTGACTTTGGCCCTGCTTTTAGACAGTACATGCAGAGAAAGCAGAGGAACTGGGGGACAAGGGCAGCTACCTTGTTTCTTCTTCAGTGAGGGCCCACAGGAGCCACATAGGCACTCTCCTACCTAACCTGTTTGGTGACTGTTAAAAGAGAAGATCACATCAAGGCGCAACCACATATGGTGGGGATAACACTGACCTTGTGAACAAACGGCCAAGTTCAAATTCTTACTCTGACACTAACTAGTGTGTACAACCACAGCCCCAAGTCAGTCACCTATGGAATGGGATAGGGCCACGCGCTCTTGCTCCCCGGGCAGAAGGCGCCAAGCACAGCGGGATCTTCTCAGAGAGGGCAGGAAGCACTCTAAGAGACAAGACAACAATGTACCCTGTTCAGCCGAACCCGCCTCTCCCTTTGTCCTCTCTGGCTGCCTGTAAAGCAGTGCTTCTCAACCTTCCTAATGCCTCAACCCTTTAGTATAGTTCCTCAAGTTGTTCTGACCGCCCTCCCCCCATAAAACTATTTTCTACTTCATCACTGTAATTTTGCTACTGTTATGAATCGGGCGACCCCTGTAAAAGGGTCGTTCAACCCCCAAAGGGGTCACAACACACAGGTTGAGAACCACTGCTCTAAACGATCTTTATTCTTCAGGGCCAGTCTTCCACCAGTGGACCAGGGTGGACCATGGACGCCAGCACGAGACCTTGGTCTGATGGGCTGTGTCCTTCTACTGCTACAGCAGGCGGTGCCAAGGGGACAGAAGCCAGCCTGGGGCAGAGCCTGGAACACTCACCAATCCTTAGAAGAAAGGTCTGGAAGCCCTGGGCCCATTCAGCTAACTCAGGAGGAAGACCGACTGGGTCTAGAGAGACAGGAAGCGGGTCTTTAGCTGAGTGGTCCTCAGGGATGCTGGACGGGAGACCTCAGAGCAGTTGGCAGGTCAAGAACTGAGGGATGGGTCAACAAAAAAACCTTGAACTATTTACAGGCTTTTCTTTTTTTGGTCATTGGTTTTACGTTGTTGTTTTGTTTTGCTCTTATTTTTGTGCATATTATCTCTGCAGGTCTATCTAGATAAGGTAAATGGGATAAACAATCTGGAGGAGAAGAAAACGGGACCGACAGTTCCGGGGGGACATGGGAGAGGGGGAGGTGGGGGAAAGGAAGCGGTGTTAACAAACCCAGGGACAAGTGAACAAGTGATCCAAAATCAGGGGTGAGGAGGGTATAAGAGGCCTGGTAGTGCTTGATCAAGGGCAATGTAACCGAGAGGAATTACTGAAACCCAAATGAAGGCTGAGCATGATAGTGGGACAAGAGAAAGTTCTATTAAACTGGCATTCCATGATGCTCACCTTCCCGACATGATTGGTGAAAACAAAGCGGGTGCATAAGTAAATATGGTGAAGAAAGCTGATGGTGCCTGGCTATCAAAAGATATAGCGTCTGGGGTCTTAAAGGCTTGAAGGTAAACAAGTGGCCATGTAGCTCAGAAGCAACAAAGCCCACATGGAAGAAGCACACCAGCCTGTGTGATCACCAGGTATCGACGGGATCGGGTATCAGGCATCAAAGAACAAAAAATCTTATCATTGTGAACGAGGGGGAGTTGAACTGAAGGGAAATGGTGGGGCTGGACCCATGCCTCTCAGGTTCATGTTGGCCTAGGGACAGAAGGGAGCCCAGAGGTCACAGCTGAGTAGATATCCAGGAACTCCGAAAACAAAAACACACACCAGAAACGTGAGCAATAAAACTTGCTTTAAACACAAGTGCTGCTACCTCAGGGCAGACAGGACAGGTGGCAGAGAAGACTGAAGCAAGCCAACCGAGGTATATGAGCCAGCTGGTCTGCATGGCAAGAAGCAGAGGTGATGACAGAGGACCAGGTGATTAGCAGGGGAGGATCCCGGGGTCTCCAGAGTGAGGCTGCTAGCCATGGCCCAGAGCACAGGTTCCCACACCTCCCTGCCCTTTTCAGGGAAAAGCAAGCAAACAAACAATTCAGCACACTGCTGGTAATTAAAAGAGCTTGTACTGCAGGCCATCATGCACTTTTGTACTATTGCCATTTTGGGAAATACTCGTGCCGAGGCTTCAAATGCCCGATGAGGGTGGGATTCTCAGGAATGGCCTCCACAGCCAGCTTCAGTCCGGCGAGGGGCAACTTACCACAGGGACAGGAGCTGGAACCCCAGGGCACCCCAGGAAGGCAAGCAGAGCAAGGTCCACCGTGGCTGAAGGGCTTCTGACAAAAGTCTTAGGGTCCTGCTGGGTTGGAGAAAGAGAAAAGTACCAAGTTTGTACCTTGGAGAGTTTAGGACAGGGGTCCTCAATCTTTTTAAACAGGGGGCCAGTTCACTGTCCTTCAGACCCATTGGAGCGCCGGACTATGGTTTAAAAAAAAAACAACATGAAAAAAATTCCTATGCACACTGCACATCTTATTTTGAAGTAAAAAAACAAACGGGGCAAAAACACCCGGCAGGCCGGATAAACGTCCTTGGCAGGGCGCATGTAGCCTGCGGATCGTAGTTTGAGGACCCCTGGTTTAGGATCAAGCAACTTTATTTTTTTCTCCCCCAAATCAAAAACTAGTTATCACGCATGTCAGATCTCCAGGTCAGAAGGGAGACCTCACATTTCTGTTTTGGGATTCAAGGTAAGATGAAGCAACCTGAGCCCTGGGACAGAATGTTGGCCTCTTGGTAGATACCTGGGTCAAGTTCACAGGTAGGTACTGGCTGAGGGAGCAGCAGCGACAGGCAGACTGGTAAGTTCACTGCCAGGCTTCCAGCATAATAGCAAAGGAGCCTGCACGTGGGAGATTAGGGGTGAGGCAATAGAGGCAGTGTGGCACTGCATCTTCTACAGTGGTGTAACAATTGAAGAGGCTAATGTACAAGAAGTACTTAAAACAGTCCCTGGAAAACTGTAAGGGCTCCACAAAGATATGCTCTCATTCATCTACATCTGTAAGTCAGGACTGATGCCCTGGCAGAGACAGCCCCCCCCTCCCGCCCCCCCACACGCACCCTATAATTGTGAAGGGTAGCTGGATATGGGTGTCAAGAGCACTTTCATGTGGGGACTACTGTCTCTCCTTGGGAACCGTGGTGAAACGTGGAGGGACTCAGCAGACTGCTGCCTGGTCTCCATGTGGAGGGACCCCAGGCGCTGTCCCTCATGGAGTCTGGGACTGGTGCCGAGGCTGGCTTTAGCAGCAGGTGCTCCAGGGAGAAAAGGAGAAGTGGGTCCCACAGAGGACCCCGAGTAACCCTCCACTGTCAGGAGCTGAACTCAATAGGAAGAAAATGGGAAAATGAGAATGCTTTCAACACAGAGGGCCTCGTTCCTATGGGAGCAAATGGAGGATCTGGATGAAGGCTGCTGGGAGGAAGGCTTCAGCGGCACAGGAAGGACTGGACGCCAGGTCAGGGTCTTCCCCATTGCACGTGCCAGCCAGGATGTGTACTTCCACGGGAGGCTCAGGCCGCTAGGCCCATTCAACCGCATCTCCCACAGAGCTTCACTCTAGCCACAGTGCCATGTGGCTAGAACCAGTCACTAAAGCCCCAACACAGACTGAGTCTTGCCATATCTTGGAAGTCTATGCAACACTGAGAAAGGGAGTCTGCTGGATGGGAGCGTGTCCATGAGAACGTTAAGGCTGTGACTAGAGATTGCGCAGCAGGCAGCAGAGAGAGGGGCACACAGAGCAGGGGACCAGCCTGAGGGCAGCGCTGTCCAAGAGGAGACTGGCCCTGGCACATCCTGCACCCAGTCCTTCTAAGAATGGGCGCAGTGTACTCAGTGGGCTAGGTGTACTGGCTCTAGCTGGTCAGAGGGCACTCAAGTCCATGGGGAATGGTGTCTTTGGCAAATAGCACCCCCCAAGCGGGAGCAAGATATAGAAGCCTGAGCCCTAGTCCCACAGCAGTGTGTGTGCTGGCCAGCTGTGCTGACATTTTATGAGCAGGCCAAGTTACAAACCCATGCCCACCTTCCCAATTTAAACAAACGGTTGTTTTAGCTGCTAACTGCAAGGTCAGCAGTTCGAAACCACCAACCACTCCATGGGAGAAAGATGGGGCTTTCTACACCCGTAAACAGTTAACAATCTCAGAAACTCAAAAGGCCAGTTCTCCCCTGTCCTATAGGTTCACTGTGAGTCAGAATTGACTTGATGGCAGTTGAGCAGCTTTCTGAGTGAGTTGTTTTAGGACTTGTGATTGGAGGAGTCTGTTGCATTTTGTTAGTGAAATATTTTTTAAGGTAAAGCCAGGTTATAACTTCTGAGCCATCCCACTGGTCTTAGCAAAAGAGTTGTTATTGGGGGGACATGAGGTGGAACCTTCGAGCTTGTTCGCCATGCACGTCCTGTCCGACCCGGCCAACCGCCTCCCGTCCCTCCCGGCCGTCCAAGACTCTCACGCGTGTGCCCACTCACTCCCCCCTTCTTCCCCACCTCAAAAAAGAAAAAGTTGCTAACTGTCAGTAAAGGGGCCTGTGCATATAGAAGCATGTGCTTAGAGCAGCTGACATGACAGCACGCTGGTCATTCCTCCAATCTTCTCTGTGCCACACCCCCTCAAACGGGACGAACACATCCCCAAACTTCCACTTGGTTAGATTCTCAATCTGTGAGGCAAATTGGAAGTGCCCAAAAGACACACAAATCTTACCCCTAGATAATGGCTCTAAAAAGCAAAAATCAAGTACAACTCGCCATTGCCCTCACACTTAATAAAACAAGGGGAGACCCCTCCCCACCCCCCAAGAAGTGCCACGGACTGGGGAGTGTTTTGTTTTGTTGTACATATTGTACACCAGTAGCCGAGTCTGCGAACCAGTTTGACAGCCTGTTAGCCTCGTCCCTGCTGACATCGGCTCCAAAGTCACCGGCCCAGGCAGGCTCCTCTGCTTCTCTGAGCAGCCTTCTCCTGCCTTCCTTCCGTTAATCCTCCTACACCCCCATCGTTTTTCTGCCCACCTGCTCCCCAGAGCTTCTTTAAAAAGTGCTCCGAGTTGGCGTCTCTGCCCACTGTTGGAGCTCCTGTCAACCAGCTCCTGGGGGCCCTTCCTCTTTTCACCAGCACCTTGTTGGATCCTGTTAATTCTGGGCTCCGGCCCTCTCTTGGCAGCACTGGCCCCGTTCTTCTCCAATGTTTCAGAGGGTAGGCAGAATGTCTTCAGCTCCTACCTTTCCCAAATCTAGGGACCCTCTAAACAGGGCTGTCCAACCCCCACTCCTCCTCATAATGCCATGTCATCTCATAACTGGTCATGAGAACTATTTTCTCATCCCCACCACTCAAAGTCCCTACAAAAGGTGACATTTCCCACCAAGTGTCCCAAGCCAGGAATTTGACAGCAGGCCCCCCCCTCCCACTCCCTTCCTTTCCCCTTACACCTCTATCAGCTGTGTGCTCCCAACGCAAGTCTCTCCTAAGGAAGATTTAATGCTGTGTCTTTGCCATGTACTTACTCTCCCTCCTGCATTCCTCACCCAGATTTCTTAACGGCCCTACTGTCACTATGGGCCTTCCCAGTCACTCCTTATCCCACTGAAGTCCCCCTCAGATTTGCCTCCTATTGCTCAAATCCAGAGGAACTGGCATTTGTCACTCAACCTGGCATCACTAACCATGACTCCGCCTTAGCAGGTGGCCCTCCACGTCTGGTTGTCTGTGAATACTGGTCTCCCTTGGGTCCTTTCTGGGATTTCCTGTCCCTCACCACCTTGTCTCCAGGGCAGGTCCTGCGGAGGACCCTCACATACCTGCTCAGAGGCCTTCGTGGCCACCACACAGGATGACCACCTCTCACTAACTGTTGAGCATTGTTAGGACACACTCGCCGGCTTTGTAAAGGCTCCTTGAGGCTGACTGGGGTTTCAGGGCTTAGCAGAAAGGTCCCAAATCTAAGACCATGCTACCTGACAAATGTTGGAGCTGACACTGAAGGGACTCGTCTTGAATCCTTCAGGCTCAGCCTGGACATGTCTGAACTACCCAACTGGATGGACACAGGGGGTACTCTGCAGAAGAAAAGCCATTTGGGTTACTCGCACGAGCCTGTGTTATTTACCTAGGAGACGGCAGCTACACTCTGGGGGAAGGAGGCTGCACAGGCTAGGGTGAGGGCTCCCTTCAAGTTCTGTCACAACATCTGCAACGCACTGCAGAATAGATGTGGCCATTGCCTAAGATACATTTATGAACTCACAAGGGCATGAAAAAGACATGAGCTCTGCAGGAGCCTCCGCGGGGCTCTCCTCTCAGGTGACACAGGAGTCACCGTGCATGCCAGAAGAGTAGAATAAAGGCGTGGGGATACTTTCATGTTCAAGTCGTGGGGATTAGTCCTTTTTAAAAATCAAATGTTGAATGTCTCGGCTACATCTCCCTAGTAAGGTTCGTATTGAGAAAAATTCTTCCTCTGTTGTACCAGTGAGCTTTTGCTATCAAACCCCAAACCAAGTCCACTGCTATCAAGCCCATCCTGACTCCTAGTGCCCCGGAGGACACACAACTTCCCCATCGGGTTTCCCTCTGAGCAGCTGTGGGCTCAAGCCTTTTGATGCCACCGAGGCCCCATTATATCCGCTATAGCCACTGGTTATTCCTTTTGTGGATCTGCCACGTGGAGCAGGTGTAGACACTGGGAACCTAAGCTCAATGACTTCCACTTGTCAAATCGCCTTTCACAGCTTGGGACCATTTGAAACCGCTGGTCCTGCCCATTCTAGGAACACCTCAGGCCAGGCCAGGCGAGTCTGGGCCAAGCTTTTGCGTCAGCTCTCAGCCAACTCACACTCCTGTACCCAGCTGTGTGAACCTGTCACAAGGAGCCCTGCACAAGCCAGCAGTGGTGGTAGGGGACAAGGCTGGGAAGTGGGGAGCCAGGTCTGTAAAACAGGCTAGCAGGTGTGGTAGCCCTGAGTGTGGAAGGTCCCAGGCAAGACCTACGGTAGAGATCTGCCTGCAGAGAGGAACAGCAGTCTGGGGCAGACAGGAGAGGCACCAGCAGAGCTCAAGGCCGTGCGGTTCCTGCCGCCGGCCAGATGCTGGTGGCCCAGCCCAAGCTCCCACTTAGGTTCCACGGTACAGTCCAGGGAAGTCCCTTCATGATAGGCATCCCAAACAGGGAGAGTCTCTTTCAAACGTGAAAGAATGGGGACACTGATGCTCTGTCTGCAGAATCCTGTCTCAACCATTCTTTCAAATATTCAGCAGCCCCACCTCAGCTTTGAGCTAACGAGTTTC